GTCGGGCGCCAGCTGGCCGTGCGGGCAAACGCAGCGCGCGCGCCGCCCGTCCCACAGGCACAGCGCCGCGCACCCCGCGCCCGCCGCACCCTCAGCCGCCGCGCACGGGTTGGCGCTCCGCCTTGACTGCCGCTCCTTCGACCATATCTACCACGGATAAATCTCATATTAATATTACCAAATAAAATATCACTAAACTAAACGGTACGGTTACCATGAGATCGGTGCGGTGGTAGAGCACGTTGTGGCGCATGATGCGGTAGTCGCTGAGGTTGGCGAGCGGCGCGGACACCACGCTGCCTCGATCCAGCATCCTGCGCACCTCACATGTTTGTGACCGTTCAATATCATGTTTGTGGAATCGCAGAGTAGTAGTGTTTCGGCAGCGCGCACTCACGTGTCGAGCCAGTAGAGGACGTCGCGGTGCAGCGCGAGCGCCACGGGGCGGCGCTGCGGGGCGGCGGGGGCCAGGCGCACGCGCTCCTCGCCCGCGTACGTCATGCGCCACAGCCCCGCCTCCGCCGCCTCGCGCCCCGCCCCTCGCCCCGCCCCCTCCGACACCCAGTACACGTGCTGCTTCTGCACACACACGTACACACATAGACATAGAGTTTACTGCAGTAAAAGTTATAAAGCATTTACATGAAGGTAGTTTGATTGACGCTACGCCTGTCGCGATCGGTACTCACCTGCAGGTCGAGGGCGATGTCGAGCACTGCGCTGCCGTTGTGCAGCAGCTCGCGCTGGGAGCCGTCGGGACGCGCGCGCTGCACCCATCCTCCGCCCGACATGAACAGCCAGCCGCGATCCGCGTCCATCGCCAGCGCTACGCCGCAGACGCCCACACACACGCACATACGCACACCAGAGCCCGATAAAAATACGGCTTAGTAAGTTATTGGAGGTCATAAGCAGCATATCGCCATCTCTGCGGAGCGCGCAAGAATGTGTGACAGAGAAAATCACCTCTCACTCACTCTCATTGTAATTAGCTAGTAATTAGTGTCTCTTCCGGATTGGTCGAAAAACTTAATTTTTAATTGGTGTACATATTTTAGCCAGTAAGCACGTAGCACATAATTTGTATAAATAGTTAAGAAATTAGAAAATAAATCATTACAAATCTGGACTTCGAGTGTTATTCTTCCCGCAAATATCGACAGCAGTGAAGACCTCCCACAAAGTATTACAAAAAGAAAAATCCAAGGTAATATAGTAAATCAGTGTTAGTGTTGTAAACTAATGTGAAATAAAGGAACAGTGAAACCGACCGTTAATAGCGAAGGGGTCGGTGTCGAGCAGCACGTAAGGGTGGGAGCCGTCGAGACGCGCGACGTGCAGTAGCGCGCGGCGCGGGTCCGCCCAGTACAGGTTGCCGGCGCGCCAGTCCACCGCCAGCGCCGCCAGCGC